GACTCAATTTTATAATTTCAATTTTATCTAACTAAAACAAGTTTAATTAAAATCTAGATTTTGATAACCTAGTTCCTAAGCTTCTCTCTGTAAAATTATCAATAGAATTTTAGCCATTTTTATATGAAAAATGATATAATTACAATACTACTTAGTGTTGTAAACTTATAATTTGGATATTTCACAACAAACTCTTTTTATTTGGAGATTTACTTGTGATATCATATGCATTCATTTATTTAATAACATATTAAGATATTAAATTTATAACATTATATAACATTATAATTATATTATTAAGGATTTTAATATTTCTAGTTCTCATTTTTTTAAAAAAATAGCCTATTTTAATTATTTGAGTAAACCATCATCAGCCAAACATGAACATAGAGTTTGTTTTTTTTTTTTTTAAGTGAACGTAAAGAGTTTCATAATGGTTAAATGCTGAATTTGGTCCCTCAACTTTATATAGTTGTACTTTTTTATCCTTCAATAATTTTTTGTACTTTTTTTATTTTTTAACTTTAAGAAATGTACAATATTGATCCTTCCGTAAGTTAAATATGAACTGACTGTTAAATAATTTCATGTGACATTTTTTTTTAATTCTTTTAATGATGTGGCTATATAATTTATTATAATTATATTACATAAATAAATAAAAATATCACATCCAATTAATATTTATATTTTAATAAAAAAATAAAAAACAAAATTACCTTATTACCCTCACCCTCTCAATTCAATCCATCTTCTTCCCCCTCTTTCTCTTTCTCTTTCTCTTTCTCTTTCTTTCTTTCCTACCCACCGAACCCAAATAGAACCCAACAGTTGGGTTCATTCGGCTATGCTGGGTATTGGCGAACCAACACATCTCCCACTCTCAATCCATCTTCTTCGCCTCTTTCTTCCCTCTTTGTCAAACCCAAATCTGTTGGGTTCCATGGAACCCAGTAGATCTGGGTTCCGTCAATCCCCTTCTTCCCTTCCTTCTTTCGTTCTTTCTTTCTTCCCCTCCTTCTTCCTCTCCTTCTTCCCTCTCTATCGAACCCAGATCTTTTAGGTTCCATCGAACCCAATAGATCTGGGTTCCTCGAACCCCTTCTTCCTGTCCTTCTTCCCCTCTTTCTTCTCTTTCTGTCAAACCTACATCTGTTGGGTTCGATGGAACCCAACACAGATCTAGGTTTCATCTTGCACATTGACATTCACCGTTTCCTTCTCTCTTATTTAGTTCACATGAATTTAAGGTTTGAAAATGGATAAATCTTTTTAATTTGTAGTCAAGTTGCAGTGAGGGGAAAGGGGAAAAAAGTGGGGGAATGGAGAAGGTAGCGCTTGAGTGGCGATGACTGTTGGGTTTCTTTCAAATTTTAAGATTTTTTAAAATTTTAATTAATGAGACTTAATCAGTGCTACACAAGTTAGAAAAACGCAGATACGAAAAGGCAAATTTTGATTATGACGTAATAGAACTTGTAAACACAACTAAATTGTAGGTTACGGTTGCCTTGTTCTTCTTTGGACAGAACTGCAAAGGTTGCCCTCTTTCTTCCCTCTCTATCGAACCTAGCTGCTAGGTTCGATCAAACCCAGTAGGTCGAGTTCAATGAAACCTAGCAAGTGGGATTAGTTGAACCCAATAGTTGTGTTCAATCTTAACTGGAGTAAAGAAAAAGAAAAAGGGGAAGAAGATAGATTGAGGGAGATCAGGTGCTAAGATAAATTTTTTGTTTTTTATTTCTTTTAATTAAAAATATGGATGTTCCTTTTATTTGGCATTATTGTTTGTACACATAATCAAATTATGATACATATTATTCCCAAGTCATCAAAATAATTAAAAAAAAATATCATACGAAATTATTTAACAGTCATGCTTAACTGACGAAAGACCAATGTTATGTATTTTTTAAAGTTAAAGGATCAAAAAATAATTAAAAATTATTGAAAAACGAAAAAAACGTAACTCTATAAAGTTGAGGACCAAATTTAGCATTTAACTTTTCATAATTGAGAATATACATATCCAAAGATTTATAAACAGCATAAAAATGGAATTTAACATTGAAAAAAAAAGTAAAATTATAGTTCCATATAAGTTTTATAAATTATATTTATATAAAATTTTAATTATTTATTTTTTTATTTT